TGGTGGTACTAAGTATAGTAGGAGCAGAGGGGTAAAGAATGGAGCCAGTTAAGTAAAGGGTTCACTGAGATTTGTACTCGCACTATTCTCTCTTGATCGTGTACAGTACAATAAACACAATTTTCACATAATTTATACAGTACATTCCAAAACTAATACAAAAATAATAATAAATAATGACAGTACATCAAAGCGACAATAACATACAACAGGCATCACGGAACAATAAACACACTGGACAATAAATACGTGGTAGTCCAGTAAACGTAGTGCAAAGTTATGAGGAGCATTGAATTCTGAGGCATTGCTCAGTTAGCTGTTGATGATGTGTACCGTAGTAGCTATTCTTAAGTCTAGTGGTCTTTGCCTTAATGGTGCAGTACCACTTTCCACTGCATGGGGGGGGGGGGATTCCATCCTGAATGATGGAATGGGCTTTATTGCAACTGCGGGGGGTGTGGATCCCATTAATTGATTATAAGTCAGATGGTAAGTAGATATAATTCTCTGTGCCATTGCCACAACCCTGTGTAGAGAGACTTTGGCTTACTTGCTTGCTGTCTTCTTCCTCCTGTGCCTTTCGGAACTCCTGCTCTATGGAACAGTCCAGCTCATTGAAGAGGCCAACTTCTTCACAGTTCTTCAGAAACCGAGTGGGTGTAGGTGTCTGGTCTGAAACGAGTGAATAATAGCAAAGGAACAAGTTTATTCCATGCTGAAATGAAAAGAGACACAACGTTTTAGCCATGGAGCCCTCATCGGGTATGTTAACATGTAAGTATATCATGTCTGTATATATAGTGTAGTTATAGTATGTTTTACAGTAAAAAATACATCTTTTCAAAATCTTTCCCACTTATAAGCCACTTTTCTTTAAAAAGAGATTTCCTGCAAGGTATCTGATTATTGTGTCAGACAGCTTTTACTGTATATGCAGTACATCAACTTTTTTCTTACATTCTGGAGGAAAGGTCAAATATACTTAAATTCACATTAGTAAACATAAAAATAGTAAAGTTATTAGAGCACTCAATTAACTTCATTTGTTATCAGACCAATTGTCAACTACAGCAAGATTCTGACATAAGCAAAATGAGTGCTATGCCTATTATATTCATCTTTTAGAACCCTATTTGTGAAGCATACACAAAATGTCAGATCCTTACACCCTCGCATTTCAAAGAATTTTCACATAATCTAATCTGATTCTAGTTAAATTTATCTTTGTGTGTGTCAAGAAAACGCCTGTTCAAATATTTTCTCAAATATAACTCATTATTAGGGCAGGACTGTGCTGTGTTTTTAAGAGATGTGAGATTCCATGGCTTCAGCAAAGACAGTGAGCCCACTTAAAAGTCTGAAAAGATCAGAAAAGCAGGCCTTTGCCGGCAGCTTGTGGAATGTGCAGGAGTAGCCATCTTTTATGCGAAGCTGAGCCGGCCCTGCACTGTCCTGCCGTCAGCTGTGTCCCCTTCAGTCCCCCCGCAGTCCACAGCACTCTAATATTACAGTCCTGCAAGAGTCTCACTGGAGACACGTGGCACACCAATCCCCGGTAACCCAAGAGAGTGAGCTTTTTAAATCAGGGAATCCTATTACATTCCAAAGAGCATAAATAATAGAAAAGGCTCCAAATCACAGCGGCTGTGCTTCTGTGTCACAGATCAAACAGACCTTGGTAAGGCCTTGCAAACTATTTCTTTGAATGTCCAGTTTGAGCAAACTGTAAGGTGCATAAGATGATTTTTTAAAGCTTTATTTATGGAATTATAACAAAGTTATAACAGAGTTTCGGGAGGAAGGGCAGATCTTAATCTGGCACACTTCTGCTCACGTGCGTATATAAGTACATTCCCATGCTCATCTCACTCGTACCCCTCCCGCCACCCTACACCCCTGTAGCAGCTCCCTGGCTCAATCCTCGCAATTTGAGGGAGGGTCTGGATGGCCATGTCCTCGTGGTGAGGCTGCCAATTCCCTTGCCCAGGGGAGCTCTGTCAAATAGCATCTGCATATCTCGTCTTACTCTCACATCTAGCCCAACTACTGCAATTCAGGCAAGTCAAATGAGAACAAATTCTCATTACAAATATCAAATGACAACATGGATACCCATTTATACAAGCAGACATTTACTACAGCAATTTAAGTGAAGTACCTTGCTTAAATGTAAGCCAATAGCACTTCTCCTGGGATTTGAACCCACAACTTTCTAAAGGCCAGTGACCACTACTCTATAAGATTACCCTCAATCACACGAAAAGATGTTTATTAATGTATTCTGTCATGAGCTGGTTCTAGAATATCTCCAAGAACACTGACACTATATTGACAAAAGGCCCTGGTGAGATCTCAACTTAAAGGACAACAGTATGCAGTGGCTACACCATTCTTTGAGACTCGCTTGTTTTTTCCATTGTCTAAATTGCTTTTTAAGTGGTTAAATGTTACAGAGTATACTCTCTCCACTGCTGGGCTGTCCTAGAAAAAAAAGCTGTAAGATCCAATAGTCACAGACATCAAGTTGATACATTAAATCTTACTGCTGTTTATTAGGTTTAGATCTTTTAATGGTCAAGCTTACCCAACAATAAAACAAGCAGGCTTCACTTTGAACAGTGTACAAGTTCAATGCAAAAGTGAAGCATTTAGGGATGTTGGGCCATGCGAGACCAGCAGCACCTTTGACATTAGCAAGACCAAAAATTGAAGGTCCAATATAAGAAAGTGGCTTTTTGTCTGATAAGGTTCAACATTTGGACATTTGGGACAGACACAAATTACTTATATAACATTTATACTTCAACTTCAAAGAAAACTTTGACCTCAAATGTTAATGCACAGAAATGTTACCTTCTACTGCCACAGAGTTTCAGCCTTCTTCAGCCTACTATTTGTTTTCAGGGTTTCAAAATAGTAAAATGGAAAAATGTATCGTGTTTTATTTAACAGTGTATAAGTCTTTGGAATAAAAACTATACAGTTATACCTTTCAAAAAATCAATGAAGTGGTAACCACTCATTGGAGCATATGTACTGTATTATGACTGTTTTCAGTTTATTTGGTGTTCACATCTAGTGCTGTTTTCACACTCAATGAAAGCACTCTCATTTGGAGTATTTCACCAATAAGAAATCTCTTTAGGCAAACAGCACCAGCACAAAGCATCTACTGTTTTGTTTCAGAATTTTAGAATTTAATGGAGATCCCAAATTCAGAATGAAAAAACTACAAGGCCTTTTGTTAACGCAAAACGTTATTAAAGAGAGTACTGAATATTGTAGTATAAAAGGGATCCAGAACCTTGCTAATTGTTACAGATAGTAATGGGGGCATCATAACAAGATCTTTCCTTCCCCCACCCAGTTTATTAAAAAAACTCATCCGCATAGAACCTTAGCAAAAAAGATCTTACACATGGTAAGAGAGAAGGCACTGTGAGGTTCAGATTGTAAGTGAGAGAGGCTGGGAGTTTAATCGTTTGATGTGCGGGGGTAATGGCTTCCAGTGATAACCTCACTGGACATGTTGCTTCTCTGAATTAGCTGGTGATGTTAGGTAGACAACACATGTTAATGAAGCTCATGATCTATAAGGCCAATGTAGTCACACAATCAACCAACAGATTTTTTCTTTGTCAAAGGGACATGAGTCCGAAAAGGACAATGAATTGGATTCAGAAATTCAAAACTTAGAAGAAAATAATTTTTTTTAAAGTTTGACTTCTAAAATAAATGAAAAAATTAAGGAACTCCATTATTCTATTTTTTTTTGTATTTTACCTATTATACAATAATAAAAAAATCAATCTTTGTAATTCACCATTAATAGCATTATTAAAAGACTGCTGTCTTACCTGATAATATGTTATCATTTTTTATAGATGGAAACTTCAAAGTCATTTCATGCTTGTGTCTGTGAATCATCAGGTGATCCTCGGTAGGAAAGCGCTGTCAGACAGAAAGAGCTGGCATTAGCGTGCAGAGTATGAGAACGCAGCAGATCACTACAGCTCGTCTGGACGACCTCATGCAGGGTATGACAAAGTACAAGAACGCAGCAGATCACTACAGTTTATCTAGCTGACCTGATGCAGGGTATGAGTATGCACAAGAGGGCAGCAGATCACTACAGTATGTCAGGCCAAAGTCGTGCAGGGTACGCATATGCACAATAGGGCAGCAGGTCACCACAGCTTGTGTGACCAACTTTGTGCACAGTATGAGGTTGCACAAGAGGGCAGCAGGTCGCCAAAGTTCGTGTGACTGACCTTGTGCAGGGTATGAATATGCACAAGAGTATAGCAGGTCACTAAAGCTTATCTAGCTGACCTGATGCACGGTATGAACATGCACAACAGGTAGCAGATCACTACAGCTTGTGCAAAATGCAAAAGAGTGCAGCAAGTCATCACAGCTTGTGTAGCTGACTACACATGGCACCTTGCTGCTTTGTATTCAAAAAACCAAAAGTCTTGAAACCATTTTGTAATAAGCACAACAGCAAAGGAAAACCTGATAGAAAGGATATCACGAACATACAGTCTGAAAATACTGTGTCCTTCATGCACATGGTTTCATTCCTGACTGCAGTACTATGCAAAACTGCATAAAGAAAAGACCTCAACAAGAGATTCATATACTAAAGTGAAAGTGGTATGTAAAAATGCAAAAAATACCATTGCGACAGACCTACCCTTAATCAGGGCAGTCCCATGGGCTTACACACACAAGACTCGTGACTTAAGAGTCAAGTCAAGGAAGCTTCATTGTTCTGTATGTCTTTCCATGTCAAACACAACAAAAAGTAAGCACTCAAAAACACTCAACAAACAAAAAGCCTAATTATACACATTTACCACACCAATCTATACAGCTACAGTACCACACCAATCTAAGTCTCTACTAAGGCACTTCATCAAATGGTGTGTGGTGTGTGGGATCACTGCACTATTCAAACCACCCCCAAGTGTCCAAGACTGAAGGTAGAGGCACTAGAGGTTCTTCTTGCTACACTGCCCAAGATGGACATCAAGGGTCACTATTATGACTTCCTTCTCCCAGGTCTTCGGAGATGGTCTTTCCAAAGCAGCTCTCAACCCATTGTTCAGTACAAGGCCATCAAGCGGTTTAAGAAAAATGAAAAGAGAAATGAAAAGAAAAGAGTGAAGTAATAGCTCTGCATTAGACTAGAGTGCACCATTTTATGATAGACACTAGCCTTAACCTGAGCAGTCTCGTCTGCACATACAAAAAATCACAATTGCCAAAAAATGAAGTTCAGGAGGCTTTATTGTATCATTTTAAATAAACACCACTAGCACTGTGCATGTCCTTTGTGCCAATCAAAAAGCTTAATTACACCCTATATGAAACTGAATTTCTAAAATCTTTACCAAAAAGCAAACAATAAAGTCAGTCACCTCTGGTGTGGCTATTTACAAAGACTTTTTAAAGACATACTGAGTAAAAATATCATGTTAAAAATAATCACAAAGTGATACACACAATGTTCTTTTGTAAGTAATAAGGAACCGTAAAAAACATGGTAGATGTTTTTATCATTGGAAATTATTCACATTTTCCTTTGCTGGGCTTAGAAAACAAAATAATAAATAAATACTCATAAAATAGCATTAAAATTTTGTTATTTTTTTATAAAGTGTACATGGAAATTTAAAAATAATGTATTATATTCACAATATTCATGAAATGCTTGAGTACTTTTAAGACAGTGTAGGCATGTTTATGTTAAGAAATTTGACATTCCTGAGCTACTGGACTTAGACTGGTCTTGGTTCTAGAAAAACTAAACTTTGCAAAGAAAAACAATTAAAACCACTTGAAGGTGCAATGAAGCAGCAATGTCATCCCTTATTATATAAAACAACATTTTTATAACTGTTTTGGATTTGTCAAGCTTTTCCATGAGTCAAAAAGTTTAAACTACTTCCATATTTCACTACATAACTATATTCACAGTAACATGAAAGCTATAACTTGCATGATCACTACGCTACAGAACAGGAGAACTTTCAGAGCAATAATTTGCCTTTTTATCAAATTTTTACACATGTGCGAAGAGCTGTTAAAACAACTTTTAAATATGACTTTGAAATCCACATTCACAGTTGAAGTTGGCTGCTTTGAGTGGCTAGCCCAGTGTTTACCCTGAGGCTCAGAAAAACAGGCTTCAAACTTCTGACAAAGACAGGAGTTATGTGAAAACACTGCCTTCACAAGCTCTTCTATGGAAAGAATGAACTGTAATTAAAAATAAAAAAGGCTCTTCTTTACTGAATGCAGGTCAGTGTTTTCAGAATTATGTTCTGAATTCTTGTCAGTTTTGTATTCAATCAAGACTACTTTCTGTCTACTTTCTACTGATCCAGGTCAGTTTAGATAAATTAACTCAGGAAAACATATAGTTAATTTTTATTGGCATATTTGAAGTAAAAGCAAAAAAGTAACGGTAAAAGTAACACATGAACGTAATGTAAATAAAAAACAGAAACAATGACTGTTGACTGTAAGAATTAAATATTTCTAAATATTATTATTATTATTATTATTATTATTATTATTATTATTATTATTATTATTATTATTATTATTAAAGACTATAGTGCACTTACATTTCTACACAAAAATCTTTCAATTTCATTTTAAATCTGATTTTTCTTGTTAAATTACCTGTCTCCTTATAGCAGTTTTGGCAACTCTAATTAAAATGCAGCTTTTAACATCAATGAAAAACACCAGCTGCAAATGACCTTTAATACTTCTTGCATTTCACTGAGGTACACATTATTCCACTTCTATTCAAGATGTACGACAGGATTCATTATCAAGTTACTATGAACATACATCACATTGTTTCCATTGGACTCACCTGCGAGCAGCCTGGGGCATTACAAACAAATGGCCTTTCTTGTTCCAAATTCATCATTGACACTTCATAAAGCTAAACACAAGACAGGAAAAAAAGACCATGAACATGCCTTCCAGGTAAATTCTGAACACTCTCAGATTCTCTTGACTATGGATTATACATTCATGCCTACAATGCCATAGCACACAACAGTGGTGCTGGTGCTGTCCAAATAGACCCCTGAAAAAGAAGCCTAAAGTTTCAGCACGTAATGTACTCAAACATAAGATGAATCTAAGAATGCAGGTAATATTAGCCAATAACTTGAAGGCAACATACTTTCTGCCTTTTCTGATCTCTGGTTCTTTGCAAATCAAAGAGGAATTTAATCTCATACCAGAGCATTAGTAACTGAAAATGAGAGTTTTCTCAATTTTAAATTAGCACACTGTTAACCGAAACATCAATCAAAAAACACAGCCCCTATACTACGGTTATTTAAGATAAGCATTTGTGCATTTTCTATACTTTAACTTCCAAGAGGACCAATGGTCACATGATCTAATAACTGGTGCGTATTGCAAACACAATGAAAATTGGAACCTTTTATCAAAAATGTTCATTTTTGAGAAATAGTATCTCTTGTCAATTCTGCTAAAGTTCTTACTTTCCCTTACAGTTAATTAAATATTTGGAATTAAAACTTATGTTTTGCTAGGACAATGAGTTTGGAACCCTGGGACACATAAGTTCTTAGTCTGATATCAAAATTGGCCCAAGCAGGTTCCTTTATGTCACCCAGGTGCAGAGAACCCCACACAGTGCAGAATCCCTTCCTTACCACTTTATTACTCAAAAAACATGTTTCATTACATAACTTTTCCACTTCATGCTGTGACATTCAAATTAAATATATGCATACATTCCAAATTCTTTAACATTCCTTTCATTTTGCAGTATGGTCTCTCCAATCAGCAAAGGACAGCTAGAAGACGAATATTTTCCATAGGAAAGAACAAAATTAAATTGAATAAAACACCACACTTAACATGCTGTGTTCTAGTTACCACTTCCTCATTATTATTCCCCTCTCCCCTACTCATACATTAGCTTACAATTGCATAGAAAAAATAAATCCTAATTACTACAACAGTAGTGGTGTAATATTAAATTCATAACTTCATTAATTAGACTTCATTGGCTTTTACGTAGATAATACAGTATATGCTACAAAAACAAGAATCACAAGATTTGTACATAAATGTTTGTCATTTTTTCATTTGCAAGGTAAATCCTTTTCCACCTTTGGCACTGATGTTCTCATGTTTCCATTGCCCAATATAAACTGAGATAAAGTAACATTGGAAAGAAGAGCAGTCTCTGCTATAACATCTGGTATAACACAGGGGTGAGTCTCAGCCATATTAAAAGCGATGATAAAAGTACAACCCCATTTAGATAATGAGATGTGGAAAACTACCTCTGGCATGTAGCCTGCACTTTTCTGTTTGGCTGTTGGCACTGCAAAGGACTACATAATACTAAGTTTTATCAAATCTAGACTAGAATATTGAGCTGTATCATTCATTCTTTTTGATTATTCTTTAATACATATAACTTTGAACCCTGTATTTGAGATTCTGCTATAGAAAATAAACAGATTCATGGTTACAATGTCTATAGTCATCCAAAATTTAACGGATAATGGAGATTAATGTTAAGTACAGTAAAACCCTCTTTACAATATTACTTAGAATGATTTTAGTCTCCTGTAAGTATCATATTGGTAAGAATTAAATTCCTTTGCATATTTTTTCACATTCCACATAGAGGTTGCGACCTTTTACCAACTTTATGATATATTTAATTGGAAGCAAAGTGTTCAGATAGATACTTTAATAATCCTGTGAGAGAAATTGTAGTACAACAGCAAAAGTACGAAGTCTGATTTGAGTAAAAATACTCCATAACCTACAAACAAAAACAAAACTTAACTTGACTAAAATAATACAGTAAATGAAGAACAGGTATCCAAAAACTGCGGCAAGTATACACAGACTTATGAGTCCTAAACCATCTGAAAAGCAAAAAGACTGGGATAAACAAATTGTTCAGTTTTCCATCTGTGAATTTTAAACAGATCTTTGCCTAAAATACTTTTTTAACAGCAAGAAATTTCAGTTCTTAAATTGTATCATTTACACAAACCATGGTGTACCACGCACGGGCACTTGGGTTCTAGATGGTCAGTGAGTCTGCACATTTTTTTAAGTGTCAAAGCAAATTGTAAGCTGATTAGGTTAAGAACCATATTAAAATGATTTCCTACAGACACATCAGCCCTCCAGAACCACGTGTGTCCACTCCTCTTCTAGAACCTGCCTCTTCTACACCAGTACTGCTGAAGAAATCTGTTTCCTCACATTTCAATTTCCTGTTTCATCTTTTACAGTACTTTTGATGTGTAATATTGAAAGCAAAATATTTTACATTTTAGTCCTATTTTATGTGATACTGTTCTTTTCAAAAAGATTTCTTTCTAGATATAGTTTTTGTTTGGGATACTCTACTAAATACATGAAGCAGGATACTTTTGCCATCCCTTCTCTAATGACGCTATATCATACTCCCTCGTGATTCTCCTGAACTCCCTCATCCAAAGCAGTCATTACCCTTGAATAGCATTTGAGCTTCAGCTGATAGGATCCTTTATAGTCCCACTCCAATCAGTGTGAGAAAAATTAAATTCTCCCATTATAACTGTATTTTACATCTTACATCCATGTCTCTCCTGATCTTTGACCTCATCATTAAAAACTGCATTATAGGATGAATTATAATCTGCTGTGAATTAAGATAAAAACTGGACTTTCTAGGCGAATAATTTTTCCAATGCTACTTTAACTGTGATTGCTTTTACAAATACTTTGTTTGAAAACGGCATCTGGGACTTGAAAGTGTTAACCGCGAAAGGATGACTTTCAACCCTGTGTTACTAAGTATGGTCCATTTCTGTCCGTCTGACAATAAAAACTAGATCTAAAACTAGATTTAAGTAATCCTAATTTTATATATATTTTGAGACAGATCAGGGCTCCATTCTACATGCGCGTTGGTGGTATAGTGGTGAGGATACCTGCCTTCCAAGCAGTTGAGCTGGGTTCGATGCCAGGCTATCGCGTCGGCAAATGTTTTTCGCGGGCAGTGTGGTGGCTCTGTGGCTCAGGATCTGCGCCTGTAGCTGGAAGGTTGCTGGTTCGTATCCCGTGGCCGGCAGAGGAATCCCTACTCCGTTGTGCCCCTCCAGGGCTGCTGTATAAATGGCTGACCCTGTGCTCTGACCCCCAGCTTCTATCCCTGTCTGTGTGCCTCATGGAGAGCAAGCTGGGGTATGTTACAGTATATGGCCAATAAAGCTCTATCTCTACATGACATCTCTCTCTTTGTGGGAATGGGGAGAGGAAGGTACCTGAGGCCAGAACCAGACATTTCTGTGGTAAGGTAGCTCCAGGGAGTCTCTCAAAGGTGACTCAGTAGTGAGTGGAGGAGTGTTCACACCGGAAGCTCTCAAAAAGTAAGCAGCACTAACCTGAGGTCTTGCGTCTAGCCCTTGCTGTAACAGCATTGAAAGACCTGCTCTCCATAGGCCTACAGTACATGTTGAAGTCTTTCAGTAACATCATATTACAATATTATTAAAATAAAAAATATTAATGAATCTATCAAATCACATTTAGTCTATACTGAATTAAAGAATCCAAAAGAAACTGAAAAGAAATGTTGGGAAGGTTAAAAGTAATTCTACCTGACTGAAAATTATTGTCAGACAACAAGAAACCAGTATCAAACAAGTAGATTAATAAAGACTGTGAATCTAGTCTTGTGTCTCTATGACAGGTTGTTACATTTTCCTATAATGTCACCATAAATTCACCAATCACAACAAAAGAACACTTATCATTCAACGTTTTATTTAGATTGCCTCAAATAGTAAATAAATGAATTCCTCATGGGTATAAAACACCCCTGCACATGTATTTATTTTTTACACTAAAAACCTGGTATTTGCAAGAGTAAAGTACCTTACTGCATGTGCAAAAAAACATAATATCATAGCTTACCCTGTATTAGAATTATTTTTTTCATTCTTAGTAGCACACACTTTCCTTACCTTTTATGACTTCTTTTTCTAATTAATATAAATGCAGTACTACCATTCTGTAATGAAGTTTATTACAGCTCAGTAATAACCGACAAGAAAGTAAGTGAAGTGTACAGCTTTGCACCTACTGTAAAAGCGGAGACATCTTGCATAAAGAGGCTGGACATAAAGGTGGTTTTGTTAGCTGCTCCTGGGTGGAGGTGGGGGTGTGGATGGAGAAACAGCAGTGGCCTCACTCCCTTCCCATTCAACCAACTCACTCTCCTGCTCCTGCGGTTGGTCTACTTTTCTTTCTTCTTACAATTTATTATGTTATCTTTTTCCACAAGACATGTGAGAACTGAGACTGCGATTACTTAGGGAACTACAGCCAACAAAAGTTTTTTTTATATTTAATATTTCTCTTATTTGGCAGTACAACACTTATACAGAGGCTTTAACACACAACATGCATCTAACACTTTCCTGAAAGCCACTGAGTACCTAAAGCCCAACCCATTAAGCACTTCTAACAGAGAGACATAAACATGTTCTTTTGCTATTACAGAGACCAATGCAGGACAGGTGAAATGCTGCCCACATTTACTCTACTACTGCACAGCCTGCGAACAGGCAATTTTGGTCCATGAATGTGGAGAAGGAACACTAATAATCTTACGCAAATAGGCAAAATGGTGAATATGAAACTTGTGAATACTAAGGTTTTACTGTATATCTATTATTCAAAAAACACAATCCAAAGTATCCATTAGAAAACTGCAGTAAGTATGGGGTAAATGGCTTGTATTAGATTTTTTTTTTATTGGTAACCTTGTCTTAAACAACATACTGCTGAGGACCAACTGAAACTACTTTTTTTTCAAATGTGTTTTTCAGTATGGCTTATACTATCTCTGGGCCAGGAATGTAACCGAGCTTTAGACACATAGCAGTTTGGAGAATGAAGGAATCCAACACGCTGTGCCACCGTATGGTCAGCACAAAGGCCAAGACAGAACTTGTAAATAGTGTTTTTGTCAGTGGTTTGCTTGCATAGAGCATGAATTGATTACATGAACAAGGTCAATCAACATTATTTAAATTATTAGAGGCAAACGAGTGAATCATAGGGAGGTGTTGATTTGTACGGTTAATATACTATCACATATGTTTCACCTTCATCTGTGACTATAAACAGTTTTTATTTGTCCCAGTAACACACACATTGTGAGCAGGGAAAGGTTTTATCTCTGGTAATAGACACAAAGAGAGGTGCCAGTATCGGTGAAATAATGTTTTTACTTACTCAGCTGAAGGACATACAAACACAAATACAAACCCAAAACCTGGCTCAGGTACAGTAAATTATCCTAACTAGCATTGGTCAGTTAGCCTGCTTACCAGTTTCAGTACAGGCCTCATTTACACATCCAACCTACATTCTCTGGGCCTCTTTCTCTCTCTTTCCCTTTAGTGTTTCCCTTCAAGAAGGATCTTCTCAAGGAAAGGTTCCTTCCTCCTCTCCCTCTTTTAGCCTGTAGGCTTGTCGATTCCATTATGAATCGCATGTCAGGGGAGCTGCTCTCTGTGACACATGATAAGCAGCTGAGAAGCCCCTTTGGAAGCCTTTGCTTCTTGTTCTTGATACATATATGTAACCAAGTACTGTATATAATGAAGTAGTTCAGGTGGGGAGCTACGTCAGCATGCGTAGGCTGCAAAGGAACACATTTCGGCCGTGGAGCCTTATTCAGGTGTGAGCCTTCTTCTCACACCTGAAGAAGGCTCCATGGCCGAAACGTTGTGTTTTCTTTCTTCTCTTTTCAGCATGGAATAAACCTATTACTTGTTCCTGTATATAATGAATATGTGAATAATGTACAGTACGTGTGGATAATGTATATGATTTATACTGTAGATTGCATCCATGGAGTATTAAATAAGGGTTTAAAATTGGTGAATTGGTTTCTTGACTCATAGTATCTGTGCTCAATGAACAGAAAAGGCAAACAAAATACTTTTTACATACAAAATAGAATGAAACTGGTGAACTGCTGAGTTTACAAGATATGTCTGAACCTATATTATTAAATATTAACAGTCCTACTTCTGGGAGGCCCTGTAATTGCCAAATTCAACTCAAATTCAAATTCAATTAGTTCCATCCAGTCAACATTACTAAGCTGCTTACTTCAGGTAAGGATCATGAGAACACTGATCCCATCCAGAAGAAAAGAGCACTGACATAATACAACAATACAATATAAAGACACCAATGAACCAGTTATTTAGCCTTTAGTAGGTAGGAGTAAACTCACAAAGACACAAGCAGAACACACAAAATCTACAGGAATTCAGCAATTTCAGTGAGGTCCATCAATTTAAAACCTGCCCAGTAGATTCCATCAAAAGACTAAAAGCATCACATGAAACTTGGCCCCATTAAAGTCAAAACACTTATAATTATGGTTCCCATGGGTGAGAAAAGTAACGCAAAGCTGTTTGGTTTTGTTTAGGATTAGAAAATGTATTAAAACTGGCCAGGGCAGGCTAACAAATTTTAAAACAATCACCCAGCCAAGGGATTTAACCAGGAAAAATATCATAGCACATTTCTGGTTGCTTCTGCCAGCTGGTACACAAATTTAACGGCCAACTCTGTATTTCCTGGCAAGTGCGTTAATGACTTAGTGTTTTATTAATCCTCACTCTCTTTGCTTTCTTTCATAGATTCACCTCTTCAGAACATGACACTTGGGCAACCACAGATGCTGTAAAATCGTCTATTAAAGTAAATTCAAGCAAAGAATTTAAAATATGTTTATTGTCATAACTCATAGGCTTTCCATGATTTTCCAATTTGAGCATCTCTGCTTTAAGGCACACGCAGGATGCACTGTAACAGAGCCGGAGAGTCCTGTGACAGCAACTGCCGTGTGTGTAAGAGTGCATGAGAACGCGTTCAGGTTCACCTTGCACAGGCTGTTATGCTCCTTCTGATATAGTCACAGGTTTCGGTAGAGTTTCGGCTAAGTAACTTTTGACGTTTGACAAAACATAACTTTTTTAAAAATCCCTTTCCATTTTTTTTGTTTCACTCATATAGCCTTTTTATTCCGATTTTGGAAACTTTAAGAATATGGAGTTACTAATGAAACAAGGTCAAAATCTGATAAGCTAAAAAAAACAAGATGACCAAAGATGGAAAAAAGGGTAAATTAACTGAAGAAAAAAATCAATCAATTTGCCACTCTGCTCAGATACAGGATATGTTCAGGAAGCATCAGAATTAATGTAGTTTTTGGATAGATTTTAATATGGCAAAATACCATAAATTATAAAAATTGTTCTCCTATTGAAAAAATAGCTTTAGAACAGAGAAACAATAATTCATTAAGCATTTTCATGTTTATGTCTTTGCATTAATAATGATTGGATCTGTCCTATATTACGGTCTTGTTGAGCTGGTTCAGTTGAGTATGGCTGCAAATTAATCAACACTTCTTGCACAGTGTATCAGAGATGCATCAAGGATTGACCTTAAGCACAGAGAAGCAGACTGCTCAAGACTGTGACTCAGAAGCTGAAATCTGTTAGTATAGTAATGAAAATATAATTGTTTTCACAAATTCCAGTGAGAAACCAAAAACATGTTGTAATATTAGGGTAAGAAAAATCATTTTCAATACTAAATCACAATACAAAATTTGTGTTGCCTTTAATGTCCAAGTTTTTTTGCTTTTATTAATTAAATGCAGACACCCTCAAGCAATTGATTTATCTAAAATACAGTCAAATAGCAAAATAAATGTTTTTGGTTACTCTTAACATTCTCGTTAAGATTCTTTATTGTTTGTTTCACAGGATGGCGGCAACGTTTTCATTCCCCAGCCCTGAAGTTATCCTCCGTCATCCCTAGGAGAGTGTGAATCAAAAGTCCTTTTACACCAGCACTACCAAAACAAAGCAATGGAGCTCAAATAAAGTCCTAAAACTAAGTTTTTAATTAGTTTTTTTTCCTTTCAAAAACAGAACACAGAATAATACAAATCTGTAAATTTGGATGTAATGGTAACATTCCTAATGAAAACTTTCTGAGGAGTTCAAATATACTAATAATGTAGAGGGATGTCCAACTAAGGCAAAAACATGTAATGAAAATCAAATCTGAAAAACGTTATACTGTATATACCTACTGTAGCCATTCATTGATGTAATAACCAAAACGCCAGAGGGAAGATATCAACACATCAACTAAATTCTCACACATAAATCGTGAAACCTTGAGACATCAATGTATGACACAGCCACACAAAATGCAGGGAGTGTTAGGAAAGTCACAACATGTTCTGCAGTGCTCTAAGCACACTATTCTCAGAATAAAGCTGAATGCGATTCATCAAAGAAGGAACCTGCAACAGTGCGACTAATATGTTTGCTTACTAATTACTAACAGCTGCAAAGAGGGCATCAAACTTCTCAGAGGGAATATAGTGTGATCTAATACAGGCATGTGTCAAGGCGGTAATCAGAAACACCACTGCTAGGCATTTAAAGACACATTGTTTCGGAAAGCACCGTTGGAGACATAGAAATAACTCACCACAAAAAATAGCACAAAGGCTCAGTACACCAAAAAGGACTTAGAAGTATTTAGATACTCACTTCCTTTATATAACACACCATTTTCATGCAATTAATTAATATAATACAGAATATTAACCCTTTATTTTAGAGACTTTTTAGAAATTGACTTGTTACTAAGAATGTATTTTAAGAAGACAACCTAAAATACATCCAGGGGTGCATAATATCAATAATATAGAGACAATATTTAGATGGACTACTATGAAAATTTGGAATTAAGGGGAGCATTTTAGCAGGCATTTGGAATTCCAGTCAATCCAAAATTACTAACACTACAGACCCTCTGAATTGCCCATCATAGTTCCAGCTGAACAACAAACAGCTGAGCACGGCTGCGGACTCACTGGAGACTCATCTGGAGATGAGCTGGGAAGGGTTACTTCACCTCACCAACTACAAACCAGCGATCGAGCAGCAGCCCTGGTCAAAGTCAACAGGGACGGCTCTCTACTGCCAAGGTCAACAGTGCAACAATATCCACTGGAGAAGCTGGTCAGGGGAATAAAGGAGCCAGTTAGCAAGCAGGACAAGACTGTCTGCAGTCGTCACCCATTCAGGGCGGCTCAGGAGCTGTGATCCTAGACTTTAAATCTGGCGTTCCAAAAGGAAAAGGAAAAATACAGACTGCACAGAGGAAAGAATTAAAGAAAGATATTAAAAAATGTATGTTTTGTACTAAAGTATCATCTATATTATTTGAATATAGGGTCTGCACTCTGAAAAAACAAAAGGCCTTTAGTAGTTCCAGACTCAATTTGGATCTTGGTGTAGTGAATACATTTTACACACAAAAACTAAAACTGTTCAAATTGTGATGAATATATCAATATTATGAATCAGAATGTCCATGTGATATTACTTGTATGCCTGAAATGAACAGATTATATATAAACAATGTTGAAAATGGCCCAACACATTAGTTGATTTCATTCTTCATGCAACAAAATAAAACACGTCTACTCAGTAAACACTCTGTGTGATGCATTCTGATGTGTGAGAATGAAGTGTGGCAACACAAAGAAACATCTCCATGAACAGCTGTACTTTACATCATAGGCTGTATGATGATACTTACAATTAGGCCTTAAAAAGAGTATTAATGAATATGCTAACAGCACGTACATACTTGATGACATTTCTTTTCAAAATGTAAGAGAATACAGGTTTTCCTGTATAGTTCTAAGTCATCCAGAGAAGGTGATGTGATTTCTTTACTATATTTCACTGTAGGAAATTGAGCTTCATAAAATAAAAAACAAAACAGACTTCTTGTTTAAAACAAAATGACACTTATTCCTGCTTTAAGACTTCTTTGTTATCCTGGACAGAGTACAATTATAAAAAATTAAGATTATGCTGACAAAATAATCGAGCAAAATAACTATTCTAACTTTTTAAAAAATATGTTAAATTTTACCAATTATTTTGTCACTTGATGTCAAAACAGTCAAATATGGTTTCATTTTAAGCAAAGCAGTCTGTATCTTGGTTTGATCCTGCGTCTCCCTTCATAACACAGATACCCTGCAGCCTTTTGAATGCAAAGTCTCTTGAGGACAGCAGTGCAAACAGCACTCCACTGAGGTAAAACATTTGCAAGTCACATGTTACCCCCATTTACAGTATAATTTCATCTGAGATGTTACTGGACCCTTCAAAAATAATTACATTATTATTTATTTGTTCAGCAGCAGATGCCCTTATCCAGGGCAATTTCAATTGTATGCAAAGTTTATACTGAGCATAAGATTTTCATCCACTACGTTACTGCAAAAAAAAGCTCCACAATGTTCTAAGACAAATGGGTACTGAAACACAAACAACATTAGTTTTGTTAGATTCCAGTTCCCTCAATTCCACCAAAAACACGCCAAAAAAATCAATTATTAAGGAACGGCAAAAGTGGATAATTACAGTTATTGCTCTTCGGTTGTGTTTAACCGTGTGAATTCTGCAACCTCACTATACCTTAAAGAAAATTTCAAATTGAAATCCACTTGTATCTTCCACAGAGAAGCTAAATAGCACACATACAGTACTGTACCAATGCTATGGCTTTATTTCTCAAATGCTTAGTTGATATTTTATGTAATAAATCACCATGTTGATGTTTTAGCTAAGTATAGGAAATTTGGTTACATTATACAGTAAGTAACTCTTCATGAGAATTAAAGCCAGGATTAGGGTTTGGAGTAGAATTTCATAAGGAATTTGAGTATAATTCTCCAGGTACACATTAGAATTCAAACAGTATGGCATGAATAAGAGACAGGCACAAACTTGTGTTAGAAATCTGAGTCGTGCTGCTCCCCAAGGGCTTACAGGGACCAAGTTCAAGGTAAGCACTGTAGCCCTTAGTTTAATTTCTCATGCTTTTCATGTATAGGTCTTCATCTATCTATGACCCATGTGTTTATATGTACGTCACTATATTGGAATAAAACAAAAAGAAGACAGACTTAAACCACCTTCTCAATCACAAAACCTCACTTCATCTATTAAATCTATGCAGAATTAGCCAAGAATGACAGACGAATATCAGAAGAAGCCCAAAAACACTTCTACTTCTCTGGCTGAAGCCTAATTTCTTTCACCATATTTGTATACGTTTTTGCAGCAGAAAAATCACAGAACTGAAAAGGGCACATACTGTAATCAAGACAGCTGTACTCCATGCATTAGGCCTCTCTATAAATATTTGTTATAAATTATGTGTAAGTGTTGACACCATTGCACAAATACTATTGAAGAAAACATTATTGTCAGGTTTAGAATTTTACTGGTGGTTTGAAAAAAAATTAATATGTGCACTTTAAAACCTGGGAAAGATTAAACAACACAAAAAGGTACAACAATGACAAACATTTCCTCAGGCTGTTCTGACAAAATCTCAGGCTGTATGACCTGGGTTTTTATCACATAATAATGCAATAATAAATGGTAATTTCCATAAATTGGAAGGGGTTAACTTTTTATAAACACGGAAACTAGCAGAAACTTTCCTCTGAAATTCAAAATGACATATGTGTAACTGCATTTTTATTTCCACAACTTACTATATTACTTTTCCATTTATTTTCCTCATAAAAAAACAACAATGATATTGGAAAAGCAATTCTTCCGCAGAAAGAGGATATGTTTTTTTGAACTTTGTGACCCCTTCCAAGACTTACAGTACATATGGTCCTTAATAATAACACAATCGGCCTCTTTGGCCAGTGATGCCGTGAACATTATAAAAAAAGAATGAAACTGCACCGTCCTGCATTTCACCCAATTAATTATTTGTAAACTGTGCAGCATTTTACAACAAAGACATTTTGACTAGGTATTGATATCTGATTATTAAAGAACATGTTGACAAGGATTGACAAAGTCACATATTAAATGTTTTATTTCCTAAGAACCTAGTTCTGAAATCTAGAAGTTTTAACATAAGATTGCATTTTAAGACTTCTCTAGTTGGCTTCTGCAAAAGTGGGTGCAGATTCTAATTAATGACTATAATACTATACTGATTTGGGTAATTCAATAAGCAGTATCGCTATATAAAGCTGCCATCTAGTTAGTTAGATACAGTAGTTAATGTTTTCCAGTAATGGGAGGAGGCAATCAAACAATTTGGTGTTTTAACAAAAGAGCATACATGAAATTCATTTTTGAACTGGGATGTTAAAACCAAGGGTAAACACTAGGAGAACTGATACAAAAATATATTTAATGAACGGTAAGCTACTGTACAGTATTTGCATTAATCTGCTCTTCTGGCAGCCTGAAACTATACATCTCTATAGTGCACAACGATCAAGGTTTGAGGTTTTCATGCATTTTTGTTATGTTTCTGTGAGATTTTTTTTGTCAAAATTGTCCTGTGCCAATAACGGAATATAAACGCCTGACCTGAAACTGTGAAGTGCATTTGTTTGTGCAGTTACGTCCACTCAGAAGACTGACCTGAGCAGAGTGTTGTTTTCCCTGTCTTTCTTTGTTGCTAGTTACACATGCTACCGGTGTTCTGTTTTTGAGTCATCAGATACTTTACAGTGATGTGACCCTTCGGTTCAGTCTTATTGAGGGTACAATTACTACATGTTGTTGCCTGGTCTGTCTCAAAATAAATGCTTTCAATACTTCATTGATCTGCATCAGACTTGATAAGCTCCCACCAGTCAAGCTGGATGGTCTCCTCCTGTTTTTAACTTTTCTTATGTTCAATATCTGACATATCTGTCAGAAATGTGTTTGTATTTTACAGAGGCAGGTGAGATGGTCCCTACAGGTAGAGGATTTTGAAATGGCAAAGGGACTAGCAGACATTAGTTTTAAAATGTAGTTCATTTTTTAGTCTTTTTCTCATCGTGTAAACTTAGGTAATGTACTGTGCCTTATTTTTATGTCAGTATATTTACAGATGATCAGGGAGAAGTTAATCGCTGTTGTAAGCATCTTGTGTACAACACCAAACAATGCGTTGTCTGGATGTTATAACTTTACGTTGCGTCATCTGCTGTAGTTTACCTGAGAGCCGACATAACTGCGGTGTCTTCGTGACTTAAAGATATTAGGTCTTACTGTTAAAAAAATAATAGTCGATCTTTAAAAGTGGTAGCACAGTTTGTTTTACGCCAAAAATGACGTGAGGAACTTTAGTCTTTTGCAGAAAGCTGGGAAGATGTGAATATATCTTACTGTTTTAATTGTGTTATTTAAAAAAATACATTCGAGATGACAGTCCAGGTTAAGAGCACCCACTCGTACTGAAACGTTAATCTTTGGTATATTATCACGTCTAATAAACTCTGTACCTCTATTATACCTACACCTATAATTATATGTTTTATTAAATATTAAAACTAAACTGAATGTTTTGTGAGGATATAAACTTGGAAATTATTTTAGCCTCAGAGCCCGAGTCCCTCTCGGACTGTTAAACCGTCTGTGAGCACCGGCGCAACTCTGGAGCGAACACGGCTCCGGCGCCTCTCGAGTGGAGAGCTTCTGCGGAGAAATGTCTATATGTGCTGTCTGCGTGCTGATGTTATTAACTTCACCTTTCCAGCATGAACAGCATGATGAGTATGCCCTCGAATCCCCAAGTGAATCAAAAAATACTTTGGTTGATCGATTCATTTAGATTTTACAAAGATCTGTATAAAATGATATGCCATCTATCTACGGCTTCCTTGAGTTTCTTAATCCGTTATCCGACTGCTGGTACATGAACATATTCACCCTAATGAATGCAAGACACTATTCTATCCTATGTGAATGGCTTAATAAAGACAAAAGGCTCGGGTACTTCATTACATATAAACGATTGATTGCAATAGCTTTCAGCAAACAACTTTTACAAAAATCATGGCTACAGTAAAAATGACAGCTGAAACAAGCCTTCTGGAAGGCAAATCGAGGCAGACGCGTTTATTCAAAACTTTGAGGCTCCAGATTAAAACATCGTTTCAGCCTGTGGGTTTTAAAGGCAAGAGTGCTTTGTCAGCAGATCTGCCCCTGAACCCTTCAATATCTCAGACTGTTAATCAAACACTTACTGGTCTGCAGAATGACGTAATCCTGAAAATATAATTCTTATTTACAGTAAAACAGCACGCACGGTTAGCTGCAAACGACAATGAGTGAATGAACAAGCAAAGTTAGATTAATGATATATTTCACCACTAGAAAGAGTGAACCGAAACTGATAAACGAGACTTTATTGTTGCTCGTCAGTAAATCCGTAACTGTATATTACTACATTACTTTATATGTTGCTAAAGTGCACGTTTTCTCACAAACAGTATTTGGGCACCAGCGAGCATGAATTCCGGAATGTCACCAGCCTGCCACTCTCCTCGGTCAGCCCCGTCTTTGTAGGGCTCGCCGCTCTGTGTTGTCTGTTATTGACAGGCACATCAACCTCACAGACGAATACCAACAGCTTGGGGTTCATGTAAGGCAAAGAGACATCTTCAGACTGGAGCCCCCAAACCGGCTTTTTCGTCAGAGAACAGTTGTCCGCCGCAAGTCTGCCAATGTTTAACAGCTACAGTTCAGTTCGACACTTAACACACCCCCGGATTTGACTGCATACTTAGAACGACAAGTCTGCTTTTGAAAAACACAGACGTGCTTTTAGTTAGACTGACCTGTAGCATTCAGAGAGTACGCAACCTGTTAACTTTAAAAAAAAGTAATTTTAGTCACAGCAGTTTACATTACTTCACTGTTCGCTGATACACACGCTACAACTCATACAGATCTAACTGTTTATTAGCACGGGAATAATAGAGATGGATGTCATACATGTTATTTCCAACAGAAAACATCAGTAATCTAAGCAAAGAACTTAACATTCAACATCTGCAGGCTCAGTTCCGCGCTATTACAGAGTTCTGCGCAATAAAGGGCAATTTTTATGAACTTACCAAACAAGTGCAGAGAAGAAGCAACACTCTATGAGAAGGAACCACGTTGGACTGAGAGAAGATTACAATACGTTCTATTTAGAGAAGCATTACATCACCCCATGGTGACGTCACGTGGGATTCCTGAACTTCTAAATCATTGCGGTCCGCTCGGGGGTGGGGCGGCCCGGGCGGGCGGGGCCAGGCCGCACGCACGCGTACGGCTGCGCGGCGGTGGGTGTGCCCGCTGTCCGCCGCACCGCCGGGCCGGGACGGTCTGTCTGGGGCGCTGCTCGGTGACGCTCTCAGAACCGAGCCTGCTCGGCCGGTGCCAGGGCTGCTCCATGCCTCTCCGGAATGAACTTTGTTTCGTTTCCCAAATCGCAGTGAAATACAGCAGAAAGGAAGTTCTGAACCAGGAGCGGAGACGCAGACTACAGGAAAGGTTGCGCTGGCTTCACAGACCATTGCCCGAAGCATAATAAACAGGCAGCCAGTCGTATAAATACGTCGGAGCCAGGGTTTCTTGTGGCGACTTCTGAGCAGCCCAACTCTGGCGGGACGCCTGCGCTCTCCCTTGTCAGTTAACCAGCGTGACTCGAGCGAACCCAAGCAAATGATGAATAATGAAGCCATGTAGCATAAATAAATAATGCCCGGGATTATGTCGACTTCTAAGTGTTGAATTTAAGAGATGCCATTACAGAACCAGTGCTGATACCGGCCGGACTAAGGAAATGTTTTAAGGTGAAAAATACCACCAGTGATCAGAAACATACATCCATTTTTAAGAAAACATTTATTGCTGTACATTATGTTAGGGGAATGATAAAAACAACTCGATGTAAGATGTAGAGTATGCAATAACAAGAGCAAACTAATCTGAAGTTCCCTTTGAGTAGTAGTTTTGTAGGGTCAGGGTCAGATAAATAAAGTTGAATGCTATCTGTAAGAATTAATACAGATTCACAATTTCTTGTTTTTTTATCACTGCTGTATTACTATCATTTATTAAATAAATACAAATTCTACCTTTAAGCAGATTTTAGAAACTTCATTATGACAGCAGGTGACTCAATGAACCTCCTTTATATCCCAACATGGTTAAAAGCCTAAGCTGTAGGTGAAAAAAGAATAACACATCTGATCTGTCTGCTGTGAGCGCTGTCAGACATTCATGTATTGACATGTTTCAGCACATTCACACAGTACTCTTCGTTTATTGTTGTCAATGTCTAAATCTTCATGTGCGTGCTCAGCCCAGCCCATGCAGCGTTTGAGCTCATTAACCCAAGAGGTTGATTAGAAATCAAATTCCAAAGCAAATTCCTTGAAATCCTTCAAAGGAGGATGAACATGGTCCAAATGATCCCTTCTGGATTCTATTTAAGGGTCTCATACATTTACTTTGATAAATCATCATGAATGAATAAAGAAAATATCAAGAATTTTTTAAAATCAGATGTTTTAAAGTCCATTTCTCATACTGTACAGTAGATCAACATTTATGAACTGAACCTTAAGTTAAGGCAGAACTGAATTTTTTGCACCTTTTGCTGAGTGCAACATCAGCAAATGAAGACTGTTCTTATTGAGGTGTTTATAATGCAGAATAACATTTAACTTACCTGAAGGTTATAGGGTTAAACAATGTAAAAGCAGGAATGTTTTCTTTTTATCCCTACAGCTACAGTGTATGTGTAACTCAGACTTAACCTCCTTTTTGTATGACTGAACAGAAACATTCTGTTTTTACTAGGCTTTTACAAAGTCTGCATTAAATTAAACCAAACTCACACATCCTAAACAAGAAAACAGATATTGAAATTTTAAGCTTAATATTGCCCTTAAAACATATTGTCATTGTCAAATAAAATTCTTCAGCTGCATGCAAGAGGAAGACAAACTGTGTAATAAACCCTGCAACGACATTCATAACGTTTCGGCTAATCTGAATTAAATCAGACTTCTCCAGTCATTGTATATTTATTTACATACGTCATGGCTTGTTATGCCAGCTTTACAGTATGTTGCCCAGCTTCCAGGAGGCCTGGTGCTATGTTTACAAAGCCTTTACCCAAAATTAGTGTCACTCAGTGAAACAAGGGCCCTCTGTTTTCCTTCTCCCTCAGCTGCCATGCTGTTCAAAATTCATTTATTTATAACCTCGACAAATCACTTTAGCCCCAGAATGTACCTCAGAAACCTGCTATTGTAACAATCAGGCTACTGTGAGTGACTGTCAGGTGCTAGGTGTTATGAAATTAGTGGAATGGCACTTAATCACATAAAATTCTATTCATAAACAAAATATCTATTTCTTTCAAAAAGAAAAAAAACATTATTGAATAACTTCACAGTCTTAAAGATGCAAAACTTCTTCTCTTAAATATGCCATTTGTGTGGTTGTTTTAGCAGGAGGAAATCATTATAGTCTAAAGCAGTCTCTGTCATGACAAACTGCACATGTATAATGTGTTTATCAGAAACTCAAGATCACATATGAAGAATTTACATATGACAGTTCCCTATAGTGTGTTAATTTTGTACTGCCTCCCACAAAAAACGTTCAATTTGCAGTTTCAAAATCTGTGTAAAAATAACACCCTTGAGACAGGACATTCATACTGCTTTGCTTCTGACACATCTGGCCATTTGATTGCACTTAGGAAAGAGTTTTCAGGTAACATGTAATTAATAATAATAACAGCACATGGAATTGTTTACGGTACATCACGTAGTTAAAAATTTTTGGAATTCATAACATTGGGTGTCACACTGGCCTTTCAATTAGTTAGCAGAAAATGTATGATGATTTAGAAGAAAAGGGAGAGTAGAGAAAAACTGCAGTATATGAGTCTGTGTACAGTATGTATGACTACAGAACCTGAGACACACGAAACACGATGTTTCTATTTCAGATGCTTCTTAGAAGATGCAAAATTTTTTGGTAGCACATTTGTTACATATCCTAACAATTTGTCTGCCCTTTTAATTGCTTTCTCACATCGTCTCATGATGTAAACGATGTGTCAGCATTAACACCTCAGTCTTTTTTATACGTTGCATGATCATTCTCAGTGTTTCCATTTTCGTTTTATACAGTAGTTAAATTTTTTGCTATTTGCATCCAAAACCCTGCACATGTCCACATCACCTGCCGCATACAGTATCTGACCAGTCTTGAATTTGATATAAATCTTTCAGAATTGCATCTGCTGCTTCTTGCAGTTTTTGCCCATCCTTTCCATTTGGTATCACCTGTAATTTTGACCAGTTTACTAACTATTCCATAATCTAGATCATTGATGCAAAATAGGAAGAACAGTGGTCCTACTACATATCCTTGTGATACTCCATTGATTACATCACACCAATTTGAGGATTTACCCCTTAACTGTACTCTCTAATTTGTATTAAGGAATTCTCCATCCAAACAAATACATCTTCCTGAATGCCTAATGCATTGTAAATTGAGAAGTAATCCTTAATTAAGAACTTTATCAAAAGCCTTCTAAAATTTAAAAACACAAAATCATGTGTTCTCATATTCTCTGTGTGTATCTTTTACTGTTGTTGCTTATCAAAAATCTGTAACAAGTTAGTTAAGCAAGACCTCCCTTTACTACTGTAAATCCATTTTGAGTTTTCCCTAGTATCGGATTGTCATGCATTTGATGCTTCTTAAATATACATTATGTTTCCATAATCTAACATGACATTGAAGTCAGACCTAATGGTCTATTGTTACTTAATTATTACTTAATAACTAATAATTATTTAATTGGATCAGTGTTTTTTACCTTTCTCATGAATGGGCACAATGTTATCACTTCTCCAGTTTATGGGCAAGACCTCTGTCTTGAGCAAATGCAGCAAGAGTATTGTCAATAGCTTCTGAATAATAAACAAGCTGCTCTAGCTGTGTTGTTTACGCTGGTGCCCTGGCTTCTTCCAAGAAAGAGCTCGATGAGACCCTTAAGTCACCTAGAAACCAAACAGGCTGGGTTGGTCAAAATACCAATTGTAACATTTCTTACGGTCATTCAAATTCTCATTTACTTTTCTGTGTACCAGACACCATGTGAGATCAAGCAGTGACTGACAGCTGTGTCATATTTATGGGGTTAACCTGCATATCATTCGTCCTTTGCTACACCATACATTATCATTGCCTTCCTTCACAGTGATTTGTGTTTCCTGACAAACAGGAGCTATGCAGTAAAGTACCTTGTGTAAAAAGCAGAAGCCTACAGGTATGCTGTAGAAGGCAGACCTCAACTTTTGCTTGTTACGATACCTTCAGAAACTTCAGAGATTTCTGTAAAGCCTCATTAAGTCTGCTTCCTTCTGACCCTGATCAAGGATTCGCACCACGTGAGTCATGTAGGCTGGACCTCTCTATGCTAATGCTTAACACCGAAGAAACCACGTCAACAGGAAGTGGCCCCTGCAGTTGACACAGTGTTCCTCGCAGCTACGGCAAGAGCCTGCTGACTCATACGGTGATTGGCAGCTTCTACCTCAGACTCCTGGATGCTGCGTTCAAGTCAACACCTACTTGTTTAGTTTAAAGAGATTTCCATGACACCATCCTTGTGCTTACTAAGGAACAAAAACAAGAAGCTGTAATGTATAGCAAAATACCAATTAACCTTGTTTTGGCTGAAAACATTACATCTAATTTCTTTATCCTCACACTCTACAATTTTTATAATTCATACAGTGTACAACAATGTTTTTCAAATATGACCATGAACTGAAATTAACACGTTGTTACTATTGGAGTGGCTGCACTAATTCAGCCACAACAAATAGAGTGAGTACTTACGCAATCAACATATTTTAGTTTTGAATTTTTTTTGCAATTTTTGCTGACATTTAACTTCCTTTAGAAATAAGAGCTTTCTGTTTGAGAAATAATACATCATTTGTAATTCAACAAAACAGGACATCGCTTTGGTGAATATGTCACGTTGGCCTGGTCTGTCAGTGTTGACAAGTCTCCAGAGAGCCTGGTCTGTCAAAGCAAATATTGCTGCATCATCAGCACCAACTCAGAACCCACTTAGTATGAAGGGGCAGACAACCAAAAAG